TGTTCGAGCTTCTGTACTCGCGTTGGCAGCAGCAGCAGCTTGGCAGCAGCGTCGTGAATCCTGCATTAAAACACAACTAAAAATACCCGCTGCCCGTTCCAGCCACCAGACGCGTCGACGGAGGAATCCAGCCCGTAATAATCTCCTTTCACTCGGCACCTTGAGCCACCCACTCGCTGTCCTCAGTCGCCGTCGGGCCTCTTCCTTCAGCCGGCGAATGCGGCAACAAAAACGTCCATTTAGCAAAGAGGCCAAGCGAGACTGCGACGTCTTCGGCGGCTGGAGATTTACGCAGCATCGATTTCCTCTCGGCAGAATGAACCGGTGATGGAGAGGAAACAGAGACCCTACAGACACCGAGTCAGAAAACAACCAAACTCCTAAAAACCTGCTTCAAAACCAACTGAGTCACAATATCACCCCTGAATCCAACATCCTCTGCGGTGGGACTTCATTCCTTCTACACACTTTGTTTACTCGACCAATAATGTTTTCTGGAACTTAAAGCTTCCCGAGAGGACCGCTGCCCTTATTTAACGTCACACCGGAGCCAAGGAGGGTTTCCGATCGGCTGGAGGTCCGTTTAAAGAGCACGTTGGGACGCATTGGACACTTAAACTGCTGCTCCAGGTGTGATTAAAACACAGGTAGCCATGGCAACAACGTGTGGCATGCAAAGCAACCGGAGAACCCAAACGAAACGAGTGAAAATGTGACGACAAACGTGAGTCTAACAAACTCTGATGGAGAGTCGGGTCAGCACCAGGTTAGGGTGAAGATAATAATGAAACCAGACGTCTGAAGCTCCGTTTTCCAAGTTTCAGTGAACGCAACCTCAGCATCGACGACTCCAACAGCAGCTGAACATCCCGACAAAACAGTTTCAGTTGACAGAGCTGCAGACAAAAACCTCCACACATGAACAGAAACTGAAGGTCGGCTCGTCGGCTGTTTAGAATTATTTCCTCTGAGTTCATTAAACTTCTGCAGCATCAGACGGCAGCAGTAGCTCTGTTAATGAGCTATCATCATTAATCATCCCCCGCATGCAGACAGGACGGATCGATGGTGAATCCCACTGAGCTGCAGGTAAATCACTTGAGTCGAAACATTCTTCTGTCATGCCGGGTTGTGTTATGAAGGAAACCATCTGTTTTCATCGTGCTTATACATGAATGTGGCTGCGTCGACCAATAAATGATCAAATAAGGCAACGAGAAGATGTTTTATTGCACCACAAGTTGCTGTCGTTTGATAAATTATCATCACACATGGACAGAATTTGCAATTTTGAAATCAGAAGTAAACTCTGCCCCTCAAATAAAACGCTAAATATCTTGTTCGTGGACTGTTTTGACCGATTAAATAATATCTCTACCCCTATGAGTTGGTGCACATCAGATAATCAGCAACCTTCACTGGAAAAGAAGGAACCAATTATTAAAATGACTTTCCGCGGCCACTCCACTGACAAATCTCTGGACGTGCTCCTGGTTGTGTTGAGAACAAATTAACCAATTTATCGGAGTTGATTTAAATGCATCAGGTTTTGACAAACTTGTGCAAAGCTGCTCATGATATAAACCGTTCGTTTGCACAGAGAAGAGCACAGTCATGACTCGATAATCCGACTCTAAACGTAAAACATCCTTCTGTCATGTCGGATTGTCACAACGGAGGTCCAGATACAAGGAGGGCTTGATGCTGGAAGGCTCATTAGTTGGTAATTATTGTTCATAGTTGTTATAATAACTAGTGTATTGTTAGAACACTAAGCATCGCTGGATTTCAGCCGAACTGACCGGTGTGATGGTGCACGGGGCCATCGGTTGACATCAAAGGTAAATACGTTCAGACTGCAGCTGAAATGACCCAGATCAGATTTTTTTTTGCCCCTACGCGACCTGAATCTGGTCTTTTCAAGACAGTCTGAACAACACAGATCCAGTTAATGATGAATATCCAAAAATTCAGCATAGTCGGGGGACACTTCCACCCCGGGGTGGCCGAAACACACAGGTAGTACTTGGCTGCTGATGCTAGTTTAGTTAGTTTTATGGGTTCTGTTCGTTTTTCTTAAAAACTGTTGGATAGCAAGGTTTAGGATTGTTAAGGGTCGGATTATCGAGTCACGACTGTATTCGTTTCTGCTCTCTCAGGCACCAAATAGGTTTTACATGAATCGTTCCTCAGCAGCAGCGTCGTCATTCGATCGCTGCTTTCAAAAGTTCCAAATCCGACCCTAAACTTTCCAGCTACGGTTCACAAAAAGCTTCCCAGAGATGAAAAACAGGAAACAAAGGACTTAAAACAATGAGAAGCTACGCACTAGGAGACCAAATGAAGGACTTATTCATGGCCGGTGAGTAGGCGACACATGTGAGCGTCCAGAATTAATTTGTTTTGCGACTTTGAGCGCCGCTCGGATCCGCTTACAGTCGAAGCGTCTGGATCGGAATCTCGGCGAGTCGTGTCGGTCCGAATGTTAACAAGAATAAAACGCTGAGGGAGGTGTGGAAAACGAGACGCTGCCATGAAAAATTAATAGATGTTGAGAATTCAGCTGCTGGCAGCTTAAACGCTGGTTTTTATTATTATTACTGGCACTCGAGCACTCGTGTGATTAAACCCCCGACTTGGCACCAAGCAGACGTACATACGAGCTCAATAATGGATGATTGTGCTCGAATAAAACCCACAAACTGAGCGCAGACGCACTGAAGTGGGTTTCTCACCACAAAAAGATGAAAATGTTGAAACATGAAGAACGTCTCTCCATTGATTGCTGCTTCCACTCAGGCTGAGGTTTAATTAATTTGGTGGGAAATCAAGTGGAAAATCACCTTTAACGAACTGGAGGCCGTATTGATGATAACTCCCCGCTATCTGACGGGGGTAAGCGGCCGTGAAAAATACTTGGAATGAGTCTGATCTCGTGACGAAAACTCCGTTAAACAGATTCAAGATCAAAAAACTGCCCAAAAAACTCAACAGAAGCTCGATCTGTGAAAACTTGGGAGGAAACACCGGAGTTGAAATCTGCAGGAAGTCGTCTTTGGTGTGTTTTCCATCTCTTGTCCCAGAAACCAGACTCGATAAGAGGTTTAGTCGCAGCAGAAAATAAAAGCTACAGTCCGAGGGTAATTATCTCTTACATGCTAACAGGTTAAAACACATCCATGTGCCCTTTAACCCGTCAGCACACTGAACATTATTGGACTTTAATGATGATTTTAAAGGACATAAACCCCAGTTACGCTCTAATTTCAAAGCCATTATCTGAGCCAACAAGAATCGATGCAAAATCAATTATTAATCAATTAGCTCTAAACCAAAAATGGCTGCGGTTGTGAGCTAAATGCTAACATCCAAACAGGAACAAACAGCAACAGAGGCGGCTCGTTTAGCATGCTAACCTTTACTAATTAGCACAAAAGCCTGAACTGTATATAAAGTAGGTTTGAACCCTTCAAGACGTTAATGCAAAATCAATTATTGATCAGTTAGCTTCATAAGCTCATCAGATAAAAATGGCTGCGGCTGTGTTGCGAACCACAACGAGACAAACAGTAGCTAAGTTTGAGCTAAATGCTAACATCCATACAGGAAAACGACAACAAGCAACAAACTAAATCCCAAATCCAGACACCTTTTCTCCCCAAACACACTTCATTATCCTCACAGAAACAAACCTCTGATTTAACGTCAGAACTTCTGCTATTAGCTCGTGACCTGTTAGCCGGTTAATGGCGTCTACTCTCACTAATTACAGAATTTTTCTCACTTGTACTGACCTCCCAATGTGCCGAGTTGATTTTTTTTCTTCTGTAAAAGCCTGTTCACACCTGCTGCTCCACCTCCGCTCTGATTTCAGCCTGAATGTTTTCACTCCTGCATGAAGTAAGCTTGGTTTTTTTTTTCTTATTCTGATGAGTCATGCAGATGCAGATTACATGTTGTAAACGGACATTTAGCATGACTCAGCAGACTGCCGACGGCTCCATGATTCATCGCCTTTCGGTCGATCCGGATGCTCGGCTGATGGCGAGAGGCTCGATTCTGCAGCGTCATGACGTTCGGCGTGGATTTAAATCAGCGGCTGTGTTTTGACAGTTTGGATTAGTTCCATCACACCTTCATCTACACGCTGTGAGATCCATGAAGGACTTCTACAGAAACTGTGGATTGATGGTCATTTTCTAGCAGCTAGAGTGACAGAAATACAATAATGGAAAACAACCATCTCATATCTTCTAATTTTAATCATTAATATACATGTTCTAGCCTTAATTTTATATGAAATCATGCACTTTGGGGGCATAGATTGAAGTTAAACATCTTTTCAGCTCAGCCTTAACATGACTGTATGCATAGAGCTGATGTGAGATTATCCTACTCGGTCTTTATAACCGATTATCCAGTTTGCAGCTTGTGGGTTCCGTTTTAACTTCAGAAACAGGAGTTTTCTGAGACTCTCTGGTATTTATTCTTAGTCAACAACACCTCAATGTGGTGTGGTGACTTTTGTTAGCTATCCGTTGTACGGTCTCTACGAACTTCTTCAAAACTAAATTAAAAAATCCCCATTGAAATGAATGGGAGGTCGGCCAGGTTTAAACAGGTCACAAGGCTTTGGATGCGATTCGTCTGAATCCGTGTTTTGATATCTTCTACGGTTTTTATACGGCTGTGGTTTTATGTTTGGATGGACGGAGTTTTCCACCAATTAGAGCGAATTAACAAAATAAAAGCTCTGAAACGTTACAAATGGTTTGCCAGGAACTCTGAAATAAACTTACGAATTATACCTCATGTATAACTATAGCAGGACACATCAATCAGTTAATGACTCCAATCCAATCTCCTGGATTCACCACTTCCACTCCTTTCAACACTTCCTGTCCACTGACTCAACACCTGCTCTGACAGCGATGCACCAAAACACAGACTTCTCTATTTCTTCACCCCAAACAGCCGAGAAAGAAAAACCCAGGCCGTACCTCGTCGACGTTCTCGAAGGCGTTGATGATGTCGTAGGGCAGGCAGGACAGCAGGTCGATGACGAACCAGGTCTTCAGGTAGTTCATTCGGATGAGCTTGGGGTCGGAGATCACCTCGCCGCCGGGGCCCACGAAGGTGGTGTGGAAGTTGAGCACGATGTCCACCAGGAAGATGACATCGACGACGCTGTCCAGCACCAGCCACACAATGTTGTTCTGCTTGGTCTTGAAGGAGACATTGTAGGGCACCATGATGGCGGTGTAGAAGGTGAGGATGAGGATGACCCAGTCCCACGTGGTCTTGAAGGTGCAGTAGTGCAGGATGATGTGCGGCGGCGTCTTGGGCGCCTCCTGCTTGTACTGAGGCAGAATGTCGGAGTTGAGCTGCAGGACCTGGAGACCAGAAGACACTCTGTTGGGTTGACCGAGTCTCGTCCAGGAGTTGATTAAAAACAGGTTCAATCGATTAAAACATGCCAGTAAATGTACGATATGCAAATCAGGAGGAACAAATGACTTCCTGCTTTACTGGCAAACACATGATATAAATCAGAGTTTACTGAGTCGCCGGCTTCAGCTGCCAAGTCATCACTTAAATGAGTTCTTCAGATGTTCACTTTAATTCACTTCGTATTAGATGAACCAGTTGAACCTTCGTTTACCTGCAACGCGTTTAGAAACCCACCTGCGTTTATTTAACTCTTTGTTCCTCACGCTTGGTTCTTCCACTGTTGCTTTATTCACTAATGTTTTATTTCTTTTGCTGCTTTATTCAATATTTTCTGTATTTTAATACTTTGTGAAGCACTTTGGAACTCCAGCTTTAAAAGGTGCTTTGGAAAAAAGTTTATCATCATTTGCACAATTAGTTTTTCTCCTTTCTTTGTGAATTTCAGTGAAGCATTTTACAAACAGCAATTTCAAATAAATCCAATCCAGTGTCGCAATTATCTCATTTAGATATAGTAACCACAGAACGTGTAGAACATTCTGGGTTTAGTCCATATCTCACATTTCTATGCTTGTGATTTCACTGTAAACGTGTCAGATTTTAGTCGTAACCTGCACCATGTGGGCTTTTTTCTATGTATATTTAATATTTTTTCCATGCACTGTGGGTACATGAAGGCCACTTGTGCTTCATATCTGCTTATTTAATTACTGCATAGGATCAAATCTGTTCGTAAAGTTTCATTTGAATTCGTTTTGTTAGATTTTTGAAAGAAATCAGACAATAATCAGCCAAATAATGGTAAAACACGCTAGAAATACAAAAGCAGCTCATGATAAAAAAAATATATATATATATATATAAAAATTAGAAATACATCAGCGTACAACAGTTGAACAGAAAAATAATAATAATAATAATATAATAATAAGAAACTTTATTTATAGAGCACTTTTCAAAACACAAAGTGCTTTTCAATAAAATAAATTTAAAATTGAAATAAAATAAGCAAGAAGGTATAAAACTTGAATACAATCAGGAAACGCTCTCCGATAAAAATGTGTTTTAAGGAGCCACAGAATATATCCATCCATCATCTATACACCGCTTAATCCTCATTAGGGTCATGGGGGGCTGGAGTCTATCTCAGCTGACTTAGGGTGAAGGCAGAGGACACCCTGGACAGGTCACCAGTCTATCACAGGGCTACACTTAGAGACAGACAACCAAGCACACTCACATTCACACCTACGGACAATTTAGAATCACCAATGAACCTCTACATGTTTTTGGACCTTGTGGGAGGAAACCGGAGAACCTGGAGAGAACCCACGCTGCACGGGGAGAACATGCAAACTCCACACAGAAAGATTCCAGTGCCCCCACCGGGACGCAAACTGGCGACCTTCTTGCTGCGAGGCAACAGTGCTACCAACTGCGCCACCCTGCAGCCCCTCAGAATATATTCTGTACAAATATCTATTATATTTCTAAAATTGGTTAATAATAATTTATTTTTTTCTGAATATATACCAACAAAACCAATTAATATCTTCTAAATTTTGTTAAATTTCCACACAGTCAGAGATATTTAAATAACCGCTTCAGAAATGAAAGCTGTTTTTTTTTTTTTTTCTTCTTTCTGTCTTCAGGCCCAGTTTTAAGTTGATACTTAAAAAAATCCAGAAATTAAAAGATAACGTGCTTTCTTTCTCATTCTCCTTCCAAAAATGATGCTTATTTTTTTAATATGCAGACTTTGAAAATGCATCTAATTATTAAGACGTTATTGTCTCAGGATAGATTTCAAATAAACATTTTAGAAAAACGCTTCCTGTGCGTCTCTGCCCCCTCTAACATGATGTTTTCCAACAGAAGCCAAAGGAAGAGTTTCTGCAGCTTTATTTTCCAACATCTAACTCCTCTGAAAAGGCAAAAAAGAGAAATTAAATTAGCGATGAGATGAAAGGGACGCAGAAGGAAAAAGTCAACGAGAAACTCCGCTTGATGTTTGTGCGACAATCACCTCCCGCTGCGAGACGCCGCCAAGAGAAGTTCTTCCTCCGGTTTTCATCTGCATTCGTCTCGTTTGTCCAGAGCCGACGGTGACAGAATCGCATTATGAATAAGATTTGGCTGGAAACGAGACAGAGACGGGCGAAACGAGGGAAAAAAGAAATCAGATGCGAAGGTGACAAACAAAAAGGAAAGTGTTTTATATTTGCCGACTGCGCATTAATACAGCGGGCGGCGGTTCGATTCTGTCTTCGGGCACGTTAACCGTCAAACTCATTATTTATACGACACATTATTCTGATATTATTCTGGTTCTGCAGCCGCGAACACAACACATGAATGCTCGTTACTATTCAATAAGAAAATACCCCTAAATACACAAAAGAGCCACCACTGATACGAATGGCCTGTTAGTACCACTGACGCTGCACTTATTACCACTTTCAGTACTCAGTTACTGCACGTACCCCGAGTCACACTACTGATAATACCACTGAGTACTACTACTACTACTAACTTCTGCAGCCATTACTGTTGCTTATGCTAGTACTACTACTGTTACAGAACCTTGTACTACTTGCATCCCCACTACTACCACCGTTACTACCACTACACCTAGTAGAACTACATCTACACTTCTACTTCTTTCACTGGGACTACGACAGAATCTTACTATTGAATATACTATGCACACCATTTCTTCATCTGATGGTGGAACATCTTTCTACATCTGATGGTGGAACATCTTTCTATAGAGGATGGTGGAACATCTTTCTACATCTGATGGTGAAACATCTTTCTACATCTGATGGTGAAACATCTTTCTACAGATGATGGTGGAACATGTTTCTACATCTGATG